CATCTCTTACCACTGCTTATTACTGAAGATACTACGAAAAAATATATATTTTATATATAAAGCTATAACTTTGTTATTTTTATTGTAAATTTAATATATTCACATGTACGAAAGTGATTTCATGTGTCATATATAAAATAAAATGAAGGAAATATTGCAGCAATTAAATATTTAAATATTGCAATGAAAATTTGAAATATATTGATCAAGATATTGAACGTTGTACGTTTTGCAAATGTACGGTAGAAGAAGTACTTATTTCATAAGTTCACGTTTTAAATTTGTAAATTTTTGTTCGAGAAAAATGGGTTGATGGACTACGGATAGGATAGGGTTCCATTCTACAACAAAATGCCAGTGATTTTTTTCAGATCGTGAGACACGAAATCCCGTTTGATGTCTAGTGTATTCTAATTAATCAATGATCGAAACACTGCATTTGTATACGAAAGAAAAAAAGGTAATCATTTGTTCACCTTTGAAATACCGTGATATTTTTGAAACCTGTAGCTTCGATCGTGTGTTCTGTTTAATTTTCAAAATTAATAAATAAGAATTTTCAAATCTCTTATATTCGAGATATAATTCGAGATTAATTCGATATATAATAGAAACTCACTGACAAACGCCGATTAACTTTACGCAAACGAGAACGTAATTTCGCTTCGAAACTGTTTCTTCGCGTAATGCGTATCGTCAATTACGAAATAAATATGAATACGAATCAAATTATCCCAGAAAATGTAAAAAATTAGATACGGAACGAATAATTTTTCATTTGCGAAGAAGGAATAACGTTTTCAGAAGACCGAGTTGTTAAAATTTCGTAATTACGCGTTCTTCGATGGATCTTAAACGTACGTTGTATCGTGCTCAAAGAAGGAAAGACAAAAAACAATTAGAAAAAATAATTACGTGTCTCAAAATTATTTCGTTCCAGAGATTGCCGACAAAATGCACTTTGTACTCGTACGCGGAAGAAAGAAAGAAATAAAGAAAGAAAGAAAGAAATTAGTGAAATGTAGTGATTTCGCTACGACTTTTCGAATAAATCTTGAGCTCACTTTGCGTGTACCCAGCGAAAAAGAAAACGAAAGAAAAGCGAAAAAAGAATTATTTCGTTCCCAGTGTTACCGACAGATGGCACCATCATGCCCATATCGAACCTCTGTGCACTTACGTGGGAAAAAAGTGTTACCGACAGATGATGCCACCATGTCCATATCTGTAGCGACATCTATTTAGTCTTATAAAAAGTTACCATGGAAATACAAGAGTTACCATATTACAAACAAATTGCCGAGAATATTTATAATAGTAAATAAGAAATTAATAAACAGTCGTCAGTCGTCAGTCATAATTCATCCATTAAATTCTGTATCATGTAAACGTTAAAATAAATTATAAAATTTTCCTTTACGTAGTACGGTGACTTTATTTATTATCGATCATCGTTCCTACATATCGAAACTCTTTGCATTTACGTGGGAAAAGAGTTACCGACAGATGGCGCCACCATGTTCATATCGAAACTGCACTTACGTGAAAAAAAAAAAAAATGAAAGAATCAATAGAATTTAAGAAACGTACCCGTGAAATGCAAACTAACCTTGCGAGCATTTAGGATTTATTGTATTCCATAATTTTAAGCTGTAACGCCGATCTATTTGTTTTTTACTTTTTTCATTTCCACATTAAAACACACAATACATAATTAACGTTACTCTACATTGAAAAAATTTAAATCTAAATCGGCGAACGTTGTTCCATCGCGAAGCATTTGTTTGCGAAATTCTTTAGCATGTTTCCTTTCCTTGTACAACACTGGATCCTTGTCGATTCGTGTCAGGTTAGGCAACATAGCCAATACAATGTGTCTATAAGCAGATTCTTCCTCCACTTCTCTATCAAGTGTCACAGGATTTTCCAAAATAATCAAAGTCTCCAACGCCGGCAAGCAATTCAATTTCTCTAACTCCGAGATTTTTGTGATCTCGTTATCCCGTAGATTCAAATAACTTAGCTTAGCACAACGTGAGTCAAATCCATCCAAACTCGAGATTTTATTGCTCCTGAGATGCAGAATTCTTAAGTTGACTAATATTTCGAAACCTTCCACTTTCTCTATTTGATTCTCCGCGAGATATAGCCGTGTCAGTGCTGGAAAGAAAATTCCATTCGTCGTGGTCAGTATATTTCCACGCAGTTCGAGGATCTTCAAGTTCTCGAGATCGTACGGATTCAGTGTGACTTCCTCGACATTATTATGGTTTAATTCCAAACACTCTAGAAGCTTATGAGAAATTCCTAACGTGCTTTTCAATTTATTTCTATTCAACGTCAGAACCTGTAGTGACACGAAGAATTGACGAATTCACGAGATTCATTTGGACGAATGATAAAATTAAATAAAAAAGGAAGAAGAAAAGAAAATTTTTTAAAATATTTTAAAAGAAAGATGTAAAAGGAAAAGCCAGTAGTAGTAAGGCTGCGTTAATTGACCTGAAGATAAGGCATAGAATCTAATTCCGCTGAGGACAGTTGATTTCTATCAGCTTGAAGCATCAGAAGATATTTCATCGATGAAAGAACGCGGAGTGCCTCGGTCGTTAATCTATTTCCGGAAACGTCCACGTATAACACATATCTGAACGTTGGTATGACTGTAATATCTGTCAGTCCCTTATTAGATGCGTTCAGACCCAGATAAGCATAACCAAGACCGGAATCGCATTTTCCTAATGTGTGAAGACACTCTCCTGCTTCTGCTCGAGTTAACGCTCTTGTAGTATCTTCGAAGATAGATGAAGACTTTGGCGTTGAATATTTATCAATTTCACCCGCCTCCTCTTCGTACCTTGCATCTTCTTGTCCTTCCATCGTACTCTTGCTTCAATTTCTTTAACATTAATTTTCTTTTCTTCTTGATATTCTTATCTTGTTAGGAGCACTTTATTTTTTGCTTCTTCAAATAATAAATATGTGTAAAATTAATAGTTGATCGTTCGCTGATATTTATATCGCATCACTGGACTGCGAACTTTCACGCATTTATAGAAAATCGGACATAATTACGAAAATAATATAAAATATCGGAAGTAGAAAGTTTGTTGTAGTATAGAGTAGATAAAAACAGAGTTTTATCTTGGCCTTGTCTTCTTCAGTTCTACGTTCGTAGAAATTGAAAAAAAAGGCATGAAAATCCGCGGCCTACTTATCGTGTTATATTTCGTAAATAAAATCGCAATTAACCTTATATGTTAACGTTACGTCGATAGGCTTCGGTATCGAGCGAAAGGCAGGATTTACGTTCACTTGTTTATTACGAAAGTACAAACCGGAGTGAAGTGGGAAAATAACACAGAGAAAGAGAGCCGTATTATCAACGAGTTCTGATGCACCTCGTTTCGTCCCATTTCAATCTGTAACTCTTTTCGATGGGTCGTTTCCGTTGCATGATGTCGCGGAGTTTCTTCAAAAGTATAAAATTCTCTCTCGCGATACGATCCTGTTTCTCACGTTCCAATTGCAACCCCTTTGCGTTGAAAACTACGTGAGGTCTTGTTTGTGGAGGATCGACGTCGATCGCTCGCGTAGCCTTCTTTACCTAAAAATAATAAAAGGTAAATTTAGCGGTAATTATCGTTTGTCAAACGAACAACAGAGTATTAACAATTATTGAATAGTTCACTTTTAAACGATGTCGTTCGTAAGCTTCATGCCTCCACAAAGATGAAGCCGAGGAATTTTTATTTTGTTCGCGAGACATGTTGCTTGCTCGATCGAGTAAACTCTTTCCCTCGACTGTTTACACGATATACGCGACACGATTATTACAAGTTTCTTTGGCAACGCTCTCGCCACCGGTCTGTATCGATCATTCCTCTTTGTTCCGCCAGGTCCCGACAGCAAGCAACAGCGTGTTTCCTTTGATTATCGTACCTGTTATTTTTAACGATACTTCTTATTATTTTTGACACTATTATTATTATTAAATTTTAAATAAGATTTCTTCATATTATATCTTGCCATATTATATAATTTCACATTAGAAAAGAAAATAGGTACCTAATTGTTAGATGTGTGTGTGCTACACCTTCAAGCTACTGTTAGTATCTATCTACAAGTCTAATAAATCATTACTTTGGTATAAATCTGTGAAAGTGTAACAAGAATATTACATCATTTTTTATTTCGTTCAGTTTTTCTAAAATATCTACAAATCTGATCACCTTTTCCATATATATATATATATATATAT